CTTGCTTTTTCAGCGTGATAATTCAGAGGTGTGGTGTGATAGCATGTGAAGGCAGTCTGATGCATGTGTCTCGGCCCTGAATCAGTCAGTGACTTAATTATTAGTAGAATTAGACTACACATTAAAGAATTTACAGTTATTGTTCAACAATGAGAGTAGGGCAAATACTTTTTTCTTGTATGTCACTTTGTCTTGAAGGAACTTGAAATACACGACCTGCTTGGATTCTGCAGCAGGTCCTTCTGCACAGTGTTCTTCACAAAGTCGCTTACCTGCTGCAGCCCACTGTGGCTTTCCAGAGATACACGTGGGCACGTGCTCCATTTATAAGTTTGCCCTCACACCCTTCCTCAGAAGGTACCGGAGCAGGAAGAGAAGAGGAGCCGACTCGGCTGTGTCGTAAATGACCGCTGACAGGAGCGAGGGAGGGAGACTGAGTGCGAAAGGACAGTCATGATTAATGTGGAGCCTGTGTGGACCCAAGAATACCTTCCCACTGCCCTCCATCTTAGCTAATGTGACCTGCCATATGGGTCAACCATTACAGTGTGTGTGTGTGTGTGTGTGTGTGTGTGTGTGTGTGTGTGTGTGTGTGTGTGTGTGTGTGTGTCATATGTGTATGTGCATGGACTAACTATAGCTTTCAAAAAGTATAATTTGATGATTGAAAATGTTATCTTTACACTGTTGATGCATTTCCACTATTACACAACAACCATTATGCTTTAATTACAATAAAATGGTAACACATAATGGACCCCAAATTGTGCTCAAGTATGTAGCGGAATGAAATGACTGTTTTCTGACCTGAAGGCCCTGCTCTATTTGCTCTGCCCAAGCAAAAACACAAATTTCTGACACAAGCCTAATCTACAAGATATGGGCCAAGGCCACTCATGCTCTGTGCTCATATCTAAACTGTTGCTTCCTCGGACTGCACAAGAAAGAACAAAGAAGACCAAGAACTCTATTAAATAATAATTACATAACGTCTGTTAGTCCAAATAATCATGTGAAGCTAATGTTCAATCAATCTGTGAAATAAGAATATTAATTACTTGATATTATAATCCTATGATAGTATTTTAATAAGTAATATAACTTTAAACTAGACACTAGACTGATCACACGTAATGCTAAAGTCACATGACACATTTCCTTTTTCTGATCCAATCAGAACCTTCCAGATCTGACGCGAGGTGTGGTTTTGTTGGTGCTTGTATAATCCCCCTTTTTTCCTGTCAAATTCTGATTCAACAGTAAATCAAAACATCCAAATTATACAACCATGCTCCACATCATCTTAACTTGAGTTCAAAGCGTTCTAGAGAAGTTATCGGAGTGGCAAATCCGTAACTTTCCTCTTAAAGCCGAAAGAACCTAACGACAAGCTGGATTAAATCTGTTGCATGTTCCACCTGCTGCAATGGTTCCTTCAGAATAAAAGCTGAACCATCACGACTCTTTCAGGGTCTCGCTGATGCCAATAAACTGTCATGACCTGGGAGTAAATCAAGACTGGAAGGGTCGGCAACCGCTGCATATCTACAGGCGTCGGTTCCAAGAGGGTCCAAGCTGGACCCCCGACATTCCGGATCTAAACGGGGACTTCCATCGGGCTACGCAGACCGACAGATGGCGTCTCAATGTGTGTTATAATCTCCAACCAAAGCTTAGAGGGAAACACCATTTCACTCCCACTCAGAACTAACCCCGGGTTTCCACAGGAGCCGTCAGCAGCACGTTACTGCAGCAGAACGTCTAGCTGCTGCTTGGCCCTTCCCACGAGACGCGAAGCAGCAGGGGAGCAGCTGTCACCGACAGAGCACGAAGTCACACGAGTGACTTCGTCAGTAAACACAACAACAAGCAGGAGAAAATTACAACATGGTTTGTGTTTTATGTTCTGTCCGTTTTATAATCGCCAATACGGACCTGAAAAACAAAGGAGACCACTAGCTATGTGATAACTTCTCACGGGGCCGCACATTTAGTAACGTTTTTTAAAAGTAAAGCAACCGGAAGGCAGTACGTTCTTTATTCTGAAAATCTCGAGAGCTTCTCTCCATTTCCGCGTCCGATTTCCTGTCTTTCCTTCCCCAAAAATGTCGAAATTGACCCGTTTCAGAGGCGTCACGCGTAGAAAATAGAACCGGCGCGTAAAGGCCGCGACATGCTGCTCCTGAGACGCGGCCGACTCGCGCTGCTGACGGCTCCAGTGGAAAAGCTTCTGTTGACCACAGCGGTTCCTATCAGCAGCTATGAAGTGCTGCTGCAGTAACGTGCTGCTGACGGCTCCTGTGGAAAGCCGGGGTAATCGTTTCTCCGGATTTGCTGGTTCTGAACATATTTCACACAGACACCATCCTCAGTCTTACTCCACCTTGGTTACATCATACACATAGTGTTTAAAGTTAGTCTTGTTTAAATTGTTGAGAAATAAATAGGGATGAGCGAGTACACCACTATCTGTATCTGTATCTGTTCAACCAACTAAATTATCTGTATCTGTATGTATTCAACCAACTAAATTATCTGTATCTGAACTCGGAATGGGCGTGGTATAACCCGGAAGTGGGCGTGGTTTATCAGGAAGTGGGTGTGGTTTACATCAATATATTGTTTTACGTCTGAAATTGATATGGATTGATCAGAAGTTGCTATGTGTGTTGTTTATTTGAAAACTATTTACAGAGCAGCTTCAGAATTGAGATTAAATATTTTTGATCACAATAGTAAAGGAACTATTACAGAACAGGTGTTTTAGTAAAATCAGAACATTAATATTTAAGTGCATGGATTAATACATCTGAACTCATGCAGTAGGAGCTAGGAAATATGAAATGCTAGAACCAGACACAACTTTATATATATATTTTTTATTTTAATTTGATTAAACTGATTTTTTTCTCAACGTTCTTTGCATTTTCCCACACAAATTTAAACAAAACAATGTCGATTAAGGTGTGTGTGTGTGTGTGTGTGTGTGTGTGTGTGTGTGTGTGTGTGTGTGTGTGTGTGTGTGTGTGTGTGTGTGTGTGTGTGTGTGTGTGTGTGTGTGTGTGTGTGTGTGTGAGTGTGTGAGAGAGATGGAGAGGGAGTTAAAAAAAAACGACCGGAGCGGAGTGAGTGACTGACGCAGCACGTCAGCTCTGTCTTGTCAAATGCACCATGTAAATTACGAAAAAAGTAACTTTAAATATTCAACCGAAAAAGAGACGAGCTGAAGAAAACCTAGGGAAAACTGAAGAAACGTGAGCAACAGTGAAGCAATCACAGCGAGATCTGTTACTGGCTGTGTGTGTGCGTGGATGAGCCGGACGGACTGAGCTCCCGGCCGGCTGCAGTTCTGTGTGTGGGGAGGGGCGGGCGCTCTATGTGACTGTCCAATCACAGAGCGTGAAGACAGTCAGTTACCCAATGAGGATTTTCCTTCAGCACGATTACAGATATTTACGAGTTTTACTCGTTTCATGCTCGTATTCATTAAAAGTGCTTTATCCGTACCGGATACTAGTCTGAAACGAGTATCCGGCTCATCCCTAGAAATAAATCTTTTAACTTTTTAAACCTGACTCTCTCTCTTTCTTGGAGTTCATACAAAGTGTTGCTCAATCTCTGCAATAAAAAGACCCGATCTTCTGGTTACATTTACTCAAAGATCCATGAAGGTGATATTTCACATTCTATGGTTTCTAATTAAATGTAAGACCATCTTCTCCACAAGTACTAGGGAACGACTTAGGAGGTAATGAGTAATGAACCAGGGACTAATGGTCAGTTATCAAAGGAACAGAGGAATGAATTATTACTTACTCATTACCTAACCATTAGCTGTTTATTTTCATTATCCAATCTTGCCTTATCCATCTTGGGGATGGGGGCTGCTGACATCGACTGGGTCTATAGTTGGGAGGTGGAAGGAATACTTTGACGAGCTCCTCAATCCTACCGACATGCATTTTGAGGAGGAACCAGAGATGGGAGACCTGGTAATGGACTGTCCAATCTCTGGGGCAGAAGTTGATAACGTAGTCAAACAACTACACAGCAGCTGAGCCCCGGGGGGTGAATGAGATCCGTCCTGGGTATCTTAAAGCAATGGGTGTTGTAAGACTGTAGTGGTTTACATGTCTCTGCAACATTGCATGGTCATCAGGGGCAGTCCCTGAAGTGGCATTCATGGGTGGTGGTCCCCAACTTAAGAAGGATGACCAGAGGGTCTGCTCCAGCTATCACACTCCTCAGCCACCCTGGAAAGATTCACTCTAAGGTACTAAAGATGAGGGTTTAATTGAAAGTTGAAACTGGGATAGAACAGGAGCAGTGTGGTTTTCATCCTTGCCGTGAAACTGTGGACCAGCTCTTTTCCCTTGCCAGGGTGATGGAGTGGGCATGGGAGTTTATCGATCCACGTGTTGTATGGAATTGGAGAAGGCTTATGACTGTGTCCCCAGGGGCACCCTATGGGGGGGGGGGGGGGGGGGGGGGGCTTCAGGAGTATGCGGCGGACGTTGCAACCCTTACCTATAGTCATGAGCATTGGGTAATGACTGACAGAACAAGATTGCGGATACAAGTTTCCTCCAGAGGGTGGCCAGGCTCAGCCTTGTAGATAGGGTGAGGAGTTTGGACATTTGGGGGGGGACTCGGAGTAGAGCCACTGCTCCTCCTCATTGAGAGAAGCAAGGTCTGTTGCTTCTGTCTGTTGCCAGCCCCTAGTGGATGATGGGGGAACTTTAATTTTTGTCACTCCAGTATTGACTTCACTTTTGTCAGCCAGAGATCACCCCCTGCTGGGAACATAGGATCCGAACCCCTCATATGTTCACTTAATTTATTAAAGTGGCTCCAAAATGATCTAGGTCGTAGCTTGTTTAGCATACTTGCCAGGCCTACCAGAATGTGATGACATAAAAATGAATTCCAAATGTTCATATTTCAGGATCCTATAATCATTAGAATTTTCCATATTAACCCTTCTTTCTGTCATTCCTCAGGTACATGATGAATGTGACGTGGGATGGCAGGGACTTGTCGTTCACAGAGGACGGGTACCAGGAAAATCCAAAGCTGGTTGTCATTGTTCTCAACAAAGAAAGAGAGTGGGAAAAGGTAGGATCCATGAAAGAGCCATGTATGGATGGGAAGAGTTTTGTACTGAGTTTTGATTCCTGCATTGAATTTTAAAAAACATTCAAACAATTGCAAGATATGGTCATCAATCAGGTTTTATGGAAAAAGCTGGCTGTAAAGATAACACACAATCTTAGTTTCAGTTCATCTCCTCAGTTAAAAATGACAAACAAAGTTTTTCAATGTTTCGTTTGCCCGTGAGTCCCTTTGAAAGGAAGCTCGTGGATTTCTTTATATGCCAGAAAGTTTCGTTGAAGAATGGTGTCTGTAGCTCGTACTCAGGATGCTCTAATGGACTTTAAATGGCAGTCATGTATCTTAACACGTACTTCTGGCTTTCACATTTAATGTCCCAATGACTCAAACTGTGGAATGGGTGAAAGGAGAGGTTTGAGTGAGGTAGAGGAGAGGTGTAGGTGCTAGAACCATCCTAATGGGCACAAAACAAAAAGTCTGGTTGTAGTTCATTTTTATCGTTTGATGCTTTCCTTCAACTCATTTCAGGCTGTCGTTGTTTAATGTTTAAACTTTGAACTCTTTCTTCCATTCTGCTCTTCCTATTCTCTTCCCCCCTTTTCCCTCTAAACCACATATTCAGCACACCCTGGTGTTCTGCTCTCTGATGGCACTTCATCCTCAAATGTCTGGTATTGTGTGTAGTTAACCCCCAGCACTAATAAAAATCTACACAAACACATTTTAGAGACTTGATCAATCTGGTTCAGGTCGCATCTCTCTGTATGTGCAATTCCACCCCTCCAACTAGCATTTTCATTTTTCATGCTGTTACGCATACAGTCCTTTGTTGTCCTGCTGAGGAGGCGATGTAGTGTGTTGTAAACAGAAAGCCTGTGAAATTGTTCGGTACCACTTCACTGTGGTGTAGGAAAATACTCTGGAAGTAAGGCAGACAGCAAAACCCAAAGTGGAAACATAATTGGGAGTCTTCGTCTTCATTCTCTTTGGTGCAGCTGTCCCACCCATGCACCAAAAATCACTGAAAGAGACTTACTTGACGATCAAGAGATAAAATTCAGTAACTGCACTAAAATATGGATATGCACTAAAAATATAAAAATGAGTCCCCTTGGGGTGCAGGATGCAGAAGTGGAGAGAGGATACAGGATGTTACTGAAATGAGCAGAAGAAGGAAACTTAGTGCAGCGAAATGACACAAAAATAAGTGGAGAAGCAGAAGAAAGAAAGCAGCTAAATAACAAGATAAATATGTTAGTCATCAGCATATTCGATTTTCCTTTATCCACCCCATAAACATTTAGCCTCAGGTGTTATCTGCAGGAAGAATGCACATTCCTGAGTTTAACAATGACACACTTGAAACACCATATTTACGGATACGTTTAATGATATAAAATACCAGAGAAAGTACCAACAGGGGAAAACTGTACGGGGAGGTTTTAAATGGCGCACCCCACAGATTTAGCTGTGTTGGTCATCCCATAGCGATGTGATCCTTACATGTTATTGCTCCTTGTAAAAGTTGCTAAGCAGGCCAACGACACAAAAAAAGATTCTGCTTTTGCATAAGTGGTTGCATAATAGCCTGCTTGAAACACTGTACAGGACATCTGAGAAGAGGGATTTAATAATTAAAGGCCAAGTTCACAGACAATCAATTTTTGTACTGGTTCTTTTTTAAATCTGATCTGTCACTCTGAGTAGCAGAGTAAGTGTGAAAAAAGTCTTCTACTGCTTTCTTCTGCATTAGCCACTGATGGAAAATAAACGGGGAAGCTTGATTTAGAAAAGCTGGTGACATTAGCATGTCATGAAGTCAAGCTAGCATTCATGGATTAACCCATCTTGGCTCATGAAGGGGAAGGCTGTTGTTTAGTGTCCAGGGGAGAGCAGAGAACGTTTTGGCTAATAGAAGCTAACCATTAGCATTAGCAGCTCCGCAACATGGCAGAACTCCTTCAGGCTTGTGTTATTTGTGGAGAAAAAACATTAACGTTACAAAGCAAACAGAATCAGTGGTAGGGTCACGTTAGCCAATCAGAGGCGACATGTCCCATTATCATGAAGTAAGTCTCCTCCCGAAACAGGAGCGCGAGAGCTTTTTTTCCCCACAGAGATGGACTCACAAGGTATTCATTTGTACTGGAGGCCATTGTGAATGTGTTTTAAAATGTGTGAACTTGGTCTTTAACATCTGGATGAAGGAACCATCACTATTAAGGGTAGAGGGCAGTCCAGTTGTTTGTAACCTCAGGCCATAAGCCTCATCATACTCTTCTCACTGAGCTGCCGTGGGTTTCTCCCCCATCCCAAAGTGCTCACACCAGCTCACGCACTGCAGCCCTGCAGGCTCAGCTGCAGTCAAAGCTGATGCTTACTTCTCTGTGCATGCATGAAGACGTTGTTGGCTGATTCTGGGGTGATGAGTGTTACATTTACAACTAAAACACTCAGTAAAACCCTTCAAAAACACCAAGAACGTTGCTTAGTTTGTTGCTTGTCATGTTTTGAAAAACAGTTGCTAGAGGGTTCTGAAAACTCACTAAATATATTGACAAAGTCCCCAAATTGGCACAAATATACCCGAACTACCTCAGCTGGCTCCTCTTCGTAGAAGAACAGCAGCGCCTGGATGTTCGAGCTCTGAGGCGAAGCTCGACCATCGTGCAGAAAAACTATTTTCAGCCTCTCGTCATCTTGTGTTTTTGTTCTTTCCTCAAGGCTCATAACCGTAGGTGAAGATTGGATCCCTGGAATCTAAATATGACAGTATAGTCAAAAATATGAACTATTAACTGCAAAATTGTGCTGAAGCTGATTCTGCGAGTGGCCTACAGTTTTGTAAAAATGGTCTTTCATTTTTCTGGCTCATGTTGCAAAAGTTATGATCTTCCATCACATAATCCAAAACTGCATGCAATGTTTCTATAAACCCACGTTTGACAAGTTGCCCAGACTGGAGTTTACCTCAGCTATTGTTAGGTTTATACAACCAGCTTCAGTTCAGGTGAAACTCGAAAACCTGCACTATTGTTATTGATTCACAACATAAAAGGAATTGTGGGTTACAGACAGGGTCCGAAATTAACGCTCGCCACTCGACAAATGCGAGCAAATTGCTCCATTTGGCGAGTAAATTTTTGAGCTCTTATCTGCCACATGGCGAGTAAATGTTTGCACCAAATTAGTTATGTTTATCAGTCATCTTCCATGGATTTCTGTGATACTCCTCCCGCCTGCATGCAATGTACACAAACGTACGCGAAACGTGAGCGCCACATCCAACGTCATTTCCACCTATCCCGTTCAATCAGTTTATCAAGTTAGTAGTTAGTTCCGTGTTAAAACTAGCGGTGAAATGTGGCGGTTTTTAACTGGAGTCAGCCAGCCTTCCAAAAGAAAACTCATCGAACTGGAAGAAAAACCACCAGGACCAGTGGCAACCAGAAGATTTTGTGAAAAGTGGCGAACTGGAGATGGCAGAGTCGTAAGACAATGGCTACATTATGATGGTCACGCAGATGTGTCATGAGATTTGAAGTGTTGCTGCCTTTCACAGACACTTTTTCTACATGTGCTGCAAACAGGATAGCCGTCTTCTATCGACTGTCCCTCGGCATTCTTCAAATATCCAAAAAATGCCCGTACTTCCGACTTTGTCTTCTTTGAGGGATAAAAAATGTCCTCCTGAGCACTGCCGTCTCCTCCTCTGGCCATTATTTCAGCTTTAGCTTAAAGAAAGTTTTGGTTGTAAACAACAAAGTGCGCATGTGCCGCCGGCAACTTCAGCAGATGATACGGTGGTTGGTAAGGGTCATCGCGCCTACACCGCAGCCACGGTAATCCACCAAGATAATATATTTTTGAAAAAAACAGACTGTTATTATTATTGTCAACTTTTTTACCGGGGTTTACCGCTACACCGGTTACCGTGACAACCCTAGCCCTGACACACGTTCAAATATTCTCATGGTGCAGCTGTGTTCTCCAGAGATCAAGGACTATGACCCAAACGAGGCTGTGATGCTTTGGCACAAAGACGGTGTCAGAAGCAGGAGGCCAGACTTCATGGACAGAGAAAACAAGGAGTCTGACTAGATTTCAATGAAATAATTCATAAAAACATCTCTAAAAATAAATAAATAAATAAATAAATAGTAAAAGTGACAAAAGAGTTGTTTTTCTTATTAATTGATGTTTTAATTATTTTGTCACTCTGTTTGGAATCAACATAATATAGAATAACATGCTTTAGGTAGATCTAAATCATTTAGAATTTTGGCCGGCAAAAAATATGCTTGGCCGGTAGATTTTCATCATCTACCAGCCAGCCTGGCCGGTGAGTAAAAATTTTTATTTCGGGCCCTGGTTGCAGAATAGCTTCACCGACTGAAGAAAACCGTATTTACCGCAGAGATGCAGGGAGGTGTGTTTTATTCCATCTGAGCCGATGGAGTGTGTAAATAACTTCAGAAACAGCCACAGTGCTGCAGCCAGTTCACAACATAATTATTACAGACAGCATGGGATTTGTGCTTGAAGAATCACAATATGGAGAACAGACTCACTAAAGCCCACGTGTGTACACCCCCACCTCAAAACAGAACCACGACTCTCAAAATAAAGCTTTGCTTGAAGGGAATGGGAAAAACCATCTGAGGTAATGATTACCGTTCCCTTCCTCTCTGCCGTTGTTTTTCCACGTAGAACCTCCTTCATGCGTGTGCACGCTGACACATGCAAGGAGACACAACACACGTACGCATTAGGTCGAATGTTCGGAGCGTTATAGGCTGAGCGAGAGGGCGAGCAGGAATCACTTCGCTGACATAATTTTGTCTGACAGGAGTGACAGATACTGTTTTATGACTGAATGGTTTTCTCCACACTATTACAAACTCATTCTCCCATAATGCATCTTGGCATGATGATAACCCTCCCGCTGAGAGTGGCACGGAGAAGCTGCTCAGCGTAAAAGCCTTAAATGCTGTTTTCTTTTC